ACGTGACACTTTCATAAAATACAATTAGAATCTCATTTCTCGTTGCGAGAAGTTGACGTCTCACTTGAGAGAAGAAAATGGAATAAGAAACAAAAGGGTATCGGTGAAAGTACACAAATTGTGATTATTTTTTCCTTTATCGTCAAAGATTATAATTAATAATGGTATGGAACGTTCGAAATTATTACGAATTTTAAAAGCCTATTTTAAAAGCTTTCACTCCGATTTAACGCACGGTTCAATTTCAATTCTTTTTTATAATTTACCGCGCCAAAGAAGGCTACTAGAAGCCAGGGATCCACCATCGTTTCGAGGCAAGGTTAATTACTCGAACGGTGGAGCTCGGTAATCTGTTTCATGGCGATTAACGCACACAAGAGCGCACAGGATAGGATACTTTTTTTGGGCTCGCTTCGGTAACGAAACGTACCGAAGTATAGATCGAAATTTATCGAACAGTGGAGGGAATATACGGCCCCGTACGATTAATATCGGTTTCATTACGGAAAAATAGAGAGTGTCGATGAAACAATAAACGTCACCGTTACGGTTGTCGCTGTTTCCAAAGACCCTTAACGCGCCTCATTTCGCGCACGGTCGAAGCATAAATTCGTGCCTCCTGACAACCGTGTCCGCGAGCCACGATCTGTTTAACCGGCCGATCAGTGTAATAAAAATGTCTAGCGTTGCTACAATGTTCCGTATATATCCTCGGTCGTTTCGAAAAAAACGGTAGCGATGGGCTCGAGTTTAACGCGAAACCGAGTAAAAAATTAGAGATGATACTTCGAAAAATTCGATTTCCCTTCGAGACTCGAATTCTGAATTTTGAAAACACTCATGAAATTCAACAATCTTTTTGTATTTTCTTTGTGTTTGTTATTCGAATCACGTAATCATGAAATTTTTCGACGAATTTGAATCCGAATTTCATTCTCCCCTCTTTCTTTTCGAAATACTCGTGAAAGATTCGAAATACGAGTTTGATCCCATCGCTATTTGACAAATTTATCGACTGTCGGTTACTAACGTGACCGAGGTGTGTGTCTAATAATTTCTTTAATGAACGAATCGCGGTTGCGATAAATAACATTTAATAAGAGTGGCAGAGATGCGAATCTTTCTTTTTTCGAAGATGGCAAGGATCAATGTCCCCGCGATTGATATTAATAGCTTAATCCACGGTCGTACAGCGATTCGCCTCGTAAATTGTCATTACACGCGAATTGCTTCGATTCGCTGGCTGTCCATTGAAATCACCAACGCCAGTTAACCACCGATATGCAAAGTGGCCGGATTCTTCGTCACTTTCTTTTCTTCCACGCGATCGTGGAAAAATTTTAATTACACGCGGGATAACGAGATACTGCCGTTTTCATTCATCTACTTGACGAATTGTTTAACTTTCAGCCAATGATACATGTCGAACGGATAGTTTTTATCACACTTCGTAGAATATATTTATCATAAAATTTATTTTCTGTTCAAGAATGATAAGTTCAGAAAAAAAAAGAGTTGAGCTATATTTAGCTATGCTAATTGTAATTTGGTTTCTTTCTGATTAATATGGGAAATAAGTTGAAGAAAAACCGAAAGTTGTAGAAAATATACGCTATATATAAAGCTAAAGTAAAGCATACGATAATATTCGAATAATTTTTAAAAATAAATCATTGTTTGAATTAAACAATTTGAAACAATGTGAAAAAAATATTGGCATTGAAAAATGTAAATTTTTTTAGATTACTATAAATGAAAAAACTGCAAAGTTTTAACGATGTTAACCGATGAAATTTTGCGCAAAAAAATATATTTTAAATTTCTTTTCCGATCTTTATTTTTTTCCTCTGGTCAATAATAATTTCTCATTTTTTTTTTTTTT